CACAGGGAAAGCCTCTTGATGCTGACATGATGCTAAAACCACCCAGCCCGCACCAGGCTGGGGCTGGGGGTGAGGTTGGGGCTGGGGCTGGAGCCAGGTTGTTTCAGCTTGCTGATTGAAAAAGCTTGCCAGCCCCTGTTCAAATGTATCTCAAGATTTTAAGACTCAAGGCACCCCTCTGTACCTTTTCTGAATTTAGGTGCACCCCAGTTCAGAAAGTAATTTCACTCATTTTATTACTACAGAAAATAAAAGAACAGCTTTTTCTATTGCAAAGAACTCAGAAAGGTCACAATGGGTCAGGATGTTTTTGACACTATGGCTAGGGACAGAAGTTGCACATAAACCAATTTAAGTGATCAGCAACTGGTTCAAACCTGTAACAAAACAGAAGTTCAGTGCACATAAACAAGTTTCAAAGGGGCTGAAACTGGTTTAAGATAAACCTAGCTGAATGAACCATCAGATTTAACTGATTCAGGTCAAACCAGTTTATGAAATTTCTGTCCCAGACTCCTTCCTGAATTAAGTTAAATTAGAGTACTCCAGAATCCCAGCATGCTCTGCAGCCCTGGGCTGGGCTGGGCTGTGCTGTTTGCTCCAGAGAGCAGGGCTGGCCCCACCCCTCTGTTCTCTAGCTGGAACAGAGGTGGTGGCCAGACACTGGACCCGCTAAGATGAAGGGAGCAGGGAAGAGGTTTATTTCCCCCTCCCTCCCTATCCCACCAGCACAGACCATAGCCGGAGTCTGCCAGGCAGGGCCACAGCAACCCCTGTCAGGCGTTTCATCCCACTTGTCGCTCAAGTGACTGGGGCGTGGCCAGCCCCAGTGGAAGCGTAAAGTGAATGGAGACAGAGGAGGGTTTAATTTCCCCACACTGTCCCCTGTCCCAGGAGCATGGACCCGAGCTAGGGTCTCACTGACCAAGGCGGAGTAACCAGTGTCAGGGCCCTCAACCACCCCCACTCCCTGCCTTCACGGCTGTAGTGGCAGAGATGGGGACATGGCCAGATCCAGCCCAGCATGTCCCCCTGAGACCCTGCAGGACCCAGGCTGGGGTCTGCCTGGCCAGGGCAGAGCATCCCCTTTCAGGCATTCCCCCTACCACCTCAACACTGCTGGAGCAGCAAGGAGCATAGTTTCATAGTTTCATAGATTTAGGGTCGGAAGGGACCTAGCAGATCTTCTAGCCCGACCCCCTGCCAGGGCGGGAGAACAACAAAACCCCAAAACAAAAACGGGACTCAAATGAGCATGGCCAATCCCAGCAGTAATCTCAAGTGAGCATGGGAGGGAGGGGATTTAATTCCCCCCTACCTGCCCTGTCCAACTGGCATGGACTCACTGCTGCAGTGGCAGGGGCAGAGGTGTGGCCACATGCTGGCCAGCATGGTCCCCTTAGGTGAAAAGGGCAGAGAGGAAGTTTATTCCCCCCTCCAGCTTCTCTCCCCCTGGGGACCCCCAAGTGGGGTCTTTTTGTCTGGGTGCAAATGGCAGAGGTGGCGGCCAGGTCTAGCAGACTCTGGCTGTGGTCCCTCAAGGGTAGACAGGGCGGAGGGATGAATAAACCCCTTCCCTGTCCCCTTTGGCTCAGGAAGCCATGCCAGGCTGGTGCCTGGCCCTGCCCCTGCTGCAGCAGCAGCAAAGCTGCGGGGGAGACCGTGACACATGCACCACCCAATCCACGCCGACCCTGGCTGAGGTCTGTGCAGATCTCCCGTTCGCTTGAGGCTACTGCTGGAGCTGGCCATGCCCCCTGCTGCTCCAGTGGTGAGGCGGAGGAATGCCTAACAGGGGCTGCTCTGACCTAGCCAGAGTCCATGCCACTGAGGCCAGAGGATGGAGGGGAGAATTAAATGACCCTCCATCTCTATTCACTTCATGCTGCTGCTGGGGCTGGCCACATGCCCTACTGTTCGAGCAGTGAGGGCGGGAAATGCTGGACAGGGGCTGCTTCCCACTTCAGGCACACCCTGACTGGGGTCCGTGCAGGCCAGGGTGAGGGTTTAAACCCCTCCTCAAGCATACTCAGCCTGCTGGGGTCTTCTCCTCTCCCCCCCCAGCACAGTTTCCCTGTAGCAGAGGGCTTGCTCTAGCACCTCCCAGCTTCTAGCCAGAGCCACTGCAGGCATGTGCCTCCATTTCCAGAATCAAAAGTGAATGTCTATTCACTTGCAAATTGGTTCAATCTGCACAGTTATACTAACCTGCAAAGATTGAATCAATTCTTGATCGGGTTTTTAATATCTGTATGTAGCTTATGTGTTCCTGTTTGAAATCTCTGGGTTTATCCTCAGAATCATGTCTAACTGTTTGCATGCCTAACAGTGCTAATATTGCCTGGCACCTCATGGCACCCTTAGAAGTATCTCACTAATCTAAGTTCAGTGGGAAAAGCAAAGCATTTAACCTAAAACTAGATTTTTCTGCAGGGATTAGGGTTTTTTTTGGTTGAGAATCATTTTTATTTGTTTTTGTTTGACTATACAACTGAAAATACAATCCATCATTTGCATATTACTATTAATAGACATCTTATACATAACTGTGTGTGGGTTATGAGAACATTTATCAGAAGAGGGCTAAAGCTGAAATTCTCAAAGTCCCTTAGGGCAATTTTACTTAAAGAATTTGCCAGCTTTTAAAGATCAAGAGAAACAAACATCCAAAACCTCAACGTAAAAGTGCACAGCAGTTTCAATATGAGAACAAGACCTAGGGTGCCTATACATGTGCTCTGGGGTGGGAAGGGAGGCACGTTTTAATTAGAGTGGCTCTCAGGAGCCACTCTAATTAAAATACCACAGCATCTTGTGTATTCAGCATCCCGTGTCTCAAAACGGTGGTAAGGGTGCTTTAAATAAAGCTAATTTGATGAGCTTTAGTTAAAGTACTCCTACCACCATTTTCAAATGTGGGGCACTGAATACACAAGATGCTGCAACACGCTGGAGCATTCCAATTAGAACGCATCAAAGCATGTGTACAGGCACCCTACATTTTGTCTAGCAGAATTTCACCTAGAGAAGCAGAAGGTTAAGTGACTGACTGGCTGCTAGGAAAAGCAGATATGTTCCAGGTTGCCAAGTACAGAAAAACTCTATGTTGGCACTGCCTAAAATAATAAATATCACTGACAGTGGAAAAAACTTCAAATTATGTACTTTTCAGGGAGAAGAAACACAGCACCATTATGCCGCTATCATGAGATATTTGAACCTTAAGGAGTCCTTAGAAAGTCTTTAAGGCACAACAGTATCCCATTTATAGTTTTACACAACTGATCTAAATTGCTGCAATAAGTCACGGGTAACCCTGGGGAAGTCCGTGGAATTATAGCGTATGGCTAACATTCTAGTAGAAGCAGAACATATAGCATGTAGTACACTGTTACCTATAGTTTTGCTTTGCTAAATTTCACAACAAAATGCAGCGTACTGACAGAAGCAGTTCAAAAGGTTAGGACCATGAGATATCTCTTGATCAGGATGGACGCTGTATTTGGACCAACAGAAATGTTGGATAAGGTATTTTTGTGTAGAACTATAAAACTCAAGATTTGTTGACCCAAGTCTATATAACAATTTCACTTTTGCTTCATGTGTGCATGCACCACAATCTGAGAAAATTGTTTGGTTTGAAATGCCTATTATTCTCCAAATTCCCTAAGTAAACCTTAAGGTGAGTCCAAACTTTCTGTTAGAACTACTGAGGTCCACAAACAGCAGAGACGAAAGATTATCTTCAAGGCTGTTTGCTTGCATGTACCAACATAGACCTACTACTCTATTGGTAAATAGATTCGGAGTATCTTACCACAGGTTAACTGTAAGCTATTGATCTGCTTATCTTCTACTGTTTTCTGATTATTTATTACTTAAGACACAATTATAATTAGCAAGTGAAAACATCTGACTGCTTTAAGTGGGTTAGAAGTGGCCATAAACACTAAAATTCTTCAAGGTTTTAAAACACCTTGGCTAGGTACTGACATTCAAGAAACCTGAAGTGGAATCAATCTAAGTTATGTGGTTTTCTGTAAGTGGCATAGTTTAAATAAGTAGTGAACAGAACACACATTTGTCCTTTGGTGAGGGAAAGAGACAAATCTTAAATCGGATTCCATCATTTTTAAACCAGTCTATGTGTACCAAACTTCTGCTCTGTTATGGGTATAGACCAGTTTTATGTGCTGAACTTCTGTTCTATCATGGGTATAGACTGGTTTCTGATCACATATATCAGTAAAAGTGTAAGGTCTGTATCTGGCCCTTAAATACTTAAAATGCCTTAATCTCTTGAACTGTTCTAGTGCATTAGGTCAAAACAAAGCTGCTTTCTTGAGTTAAGGAAAGATGTTTAATTAGGAAAAAGACAAATCCAGCTGGCTGTCTCAATAAAAAGCACAATTATGAATTCAACTTAGAAATTATGGTACAACACATACACAGGTAGTCCCAAGAAAGTCACTGGGACCACTTGAAGCATTCACCAACATAAACAAAGGCTTCAACTTGTACTCTTCTATGTTTTATTGATGATTTTTGGTCCTAGATTATGTGCAATCCTGTCATTACTGTAAATATATATGTAGCCAATCCATTCCACAAAATGTACCAGGAATAGTAAAAACAACAAGAAACAGGTCAATCTAATTGCTGAATGATGTGCATTCCAATTTCAGTCTGTTTTAGTGAACCATAAAACAATTGCTAGCAAAAGAAATGCCTAAGATATTTTTAACAGTTTTTCAAGATTGCCATATTTGTGGCTTGTGTAAAAGAAAATAAACCAATGAAATAATTAGCTAGTTCCCAAACCCCTCTTCCTCACATCTAAAACAAATATTTCTCCCTTTTGTACTATATCCAAAAAAACAACACAATTGTGCTTAAACTCATTACTAATTCTAGAAAGGTTCTGTGAACTCAACCCCCTCTAGTGCATAGCCTAGCGTGGACAATACACTCTAATGAAAAATGTAAGAGTTTGAGCTCACATGAATATAGGAATTGAGGATGAGTACAATTCTTCTCCCTTCTTCCTCCTGACCATTTTAGCTAAGCAATTTGTCAGCTTTGAAAAGGAAGAGAAAACAGGCCTCCCAAAGACATAGGTATCCTTGAAAAATAGCCTGAAAGCGTCTGGCAGCATGCACTGGAAAATGAACATAAAAATGTAAGAACTGCCATTTGCTGAGTCAGACCATAGGTCCTTCTTGGCCAGTATCATGTGTCACAGTGGCATACAATGGATGTTGAAAGGGAGAGTGAACTGGGTATGACTAGTAGGGCTATATGAAGCTTTGGGTGCTGATTCAATTCAGAGGAGATTTGGCCCAATTTGGTGGCTGAATCTCCAAATCTGAATCGAATCAGGAGACCAATTAAAAGGTCCAAATCGATTTGAAGCTCTCCAAGTCGATTCAGAAAAGGTTCAGAGAGCTTTGGAGATTTGGGCAGTTCCTGCTGGCTGAAGCAGGGAGCTGGACCTGGACTCCATGCCAGTAAGTAAGGGGTAGGGGAGGAGCTGCAGGAGGAGGAAAGGGACCATGGGGAGACCCCTGCCAGGCCTCATCCCCTGTTTGTTCCCCCAGCCTCCCTGAGCACCCTCCAA